TCTATGAACCAGTTCGATTTTGTATATTTAATTAAGCCTTAATAGACATCACACTCATTAGCATATTGGAAGTATAAACCTTCATAACTTAGAAACGCATCACTCAAATCAAGAAATATTTTACCATTCAACTATTTACTTCATGTAGAATCAGTACTGAAAGTATTGTCGAAGGGTTCATTTGCACTTTAAATTCCTTGAAAACTCCTTGAATTTAATTCACGTTTTTAAAGGCACTTGAAAAGCTCTTGAATTTTACGATTTTTGGGAAAACTCCTTGAATTTTTGCTTTGATCATTACTTGCATGGTTCTGAAATAGATCTAGTCAGAAAGATTGGAAAATCTGAAAGTCAGCCGTGTGCAACCACCGTGTAAAACCTTGGCACAGTTAGCTGAACATACTCCTTGAAGATTCTTTTTTGGGTCCTTGTATACTCCTTGAATAGTCCTTGAATTTTAAGTGGTTACCTCAGCACGAACCCTGGAGAGATTTTTTATTTAATTTTTTCATTTTCATTTTTTTTGTCTTTTGATGTTTTCTCGCTTGATTTTCGTTGTTATGCGCTTTTATTGTCATTTTTCCTCTTGATTTATTCTATTTTATTGTTCTATTTTATTGTTATTCATAGCTATATTTAAATATACTAGAGTTTACAGTTTTCATTAGACCTGATGATGTTGTTGAGATTGTTACGTCCCTTGCTTTAAGAGTTTTTCTCCAGGTTCTCCAGTTTCCTCCAAAACCTATTGAACATCCTAGATTCACCTGTGCCCTGACTTTTATCAGCTGTCAGGTTGTTCAGGGTGTCAATTTATTTGACTGTTGACTATTGTGTGCTGCTAATGAGCTGTGTCCTAGCTAACTGCTGATGAATTTAATCCTTTACCCATCATCACATGTTAGTAGAGTTGGTATTTGGCTCATTCACCTCTGCAGTACTTAGATGGCTTTTTCTCCATTTTTCCTCACTCAGACTCTAAAAATTTTGGTACTTCCAAATTTTGATTTGTTCATGGATTTAGACTCACATGCAGGTTAACAACTGGCTTTTGGGAGTATTCTGAAATATTGTCGTCAGGATTCATGATTCATTGTAACAACTGGCTTTTAAGATGTACAGTTGTATCCTCAAAAACAAAGATATTAGTCTTTTTTATTATCAAAAAGTTCAGTGATGCATTATTCTACTTTATCATATGACCTGAAATATGTATTCAACTGTGTATCCAACATATGTATCCGACAAATAAATCTTATCCGGTGAATAATTTTTTTGGATAACAGCATCAACTTATCCACTGGATAAGGATTTATCCGTTGGACAGCGCTATCCACCCTTCGTACAACCAGGCCCAGCTTTAATATGGACTATGTAACACATCAACCTCACATTCTATTGATAACATTTGCATTGTCAGAGCAAAGTAGAAGAGATGATCTGGAAGCCCTAGGACATATGTTTATGTACTTTTTAAGGGGAAGCTTACCATGGCAAGGGCTAAAGGTATGGTATATCTTTATGCTAGATTGTTGAGGTGACAGAACAAATGTCAGATTTGATTCAAAAAGTTTTGATAGAAATTAATCAACAGTGCATTTGAAATGAAACTTCTTTCAGTTTCATGTGCACCAAATCAATATTCACTTCACCTCAGGTGAATAAGTTTGTAGTATATTGGGCACTGATGGAGAGAGGGGGTGAATAATTTTGTAGTATATTGGGAACTGATGGAGAGAGGGGTTAAAGGGTGCCTTGCCCTGCCCCTCCTAAGATTTGTGTGCCAATGGTTTAAGTTTTTTGTTACATATTGTACAAGTGGTAACATTTATACTCCAAATACTTTAGATAGTTGTTTTATGATATGTAATTCTATTCATGTAGGCAGATACACTCAAAGAGAGATATCAAAAAATTGGGGATACCAAACGATCAACACCAATAGAAGTCCTTTGTGAAAATCAACCAGGTAAAGTAAATAGGCTGCCTCATAGGTGTTAGATCCCTTTTTTTAAACATTTCCCAACGATGTATTTCTTGGTTTTTCCAAACTTTTCTCTGTATCATCTGATAGCCTAATCAAGAACTTGCACTAAGAGAGCACATGACCCTAAACTCCTTATTAAATAATATAGAAGTTGTGTCAAAATGAACCCCAGAAATGGAGCTTTATCACACAGTGCCATGTTTATTCCCATGATAGTAAACACCTTTGAGCAGGTAGCTCTTGAAATTCTAGACTGCGAGCCGTCCCACTTTCCATCCAGACTCATTTGGTATGTGCGGAGATTAAAGCTGGGAGAAGGGAGAGGAAAAGTGCCTACTCTGCTCCAATCTTGCTGCATCCACAGGAATCCCAAAACACTCTCTCTTACTGAGTTTGGACGGAAAAGTGGAACTGCTCACAGTCTAGTGAAATTGCAGCTCAATGGGCTCAAATCTTTTTTTAAACTCAGATTTTTGCTAGACAGAAAAATTCGTAAATTCTTATATTATTGATCTGATTTGTGTTTGGTTTTACAGAAGAGCTAGCTACATATCTGTATTATGTAAGAAGACTAGACTTCTTTGAAACTCCAGACTATGAATATTTGAGAAAACTGTTAAGGGATTTACAAGAGAAAAAAGGTTACATAGATGACGGAGAGTTTGATTGGACACACAAGCAAATAGTAAGTTCAGTTTGTTTAATATGCCATATAAAAAAGAGCAAAAAGACTTTGAAGGAGCACCACAAGAGAGCAACGAAGAGATTAATTATTTAAAAAAAGATATATTTCTATCACAAGAGCAAAGCATTTCTAAATGAGTAATTTGTTGTTATGTATTAAATTACATCAGATTTATAAGCATTTCAAATTTAACGTCAACTTAAAATCAAGGCTTGTTTTTTATTCCTATGCAAAGCTTTCTAATTTCAAACAGCTGTAGCTTTTTTATCATTTAATGTTACTAAACTAAAATTTTGGATGATCACTAATTTTGATACACTCTTTGTAATAAAAGCAATTATGTTTTCAATGACTGAAAAAACTAAGGTAACTCTATAGCCACACCTCCTTTCATAGGGGGATTCACCTTGTGTACCAAAGACTTTCTTGCACCACTCTTCTTGGTCGCAAGTCTATCAGTTTAGCCAAATAAGCCTTTGTAACCTGCGGTAAAAGACTTTGTTTGATGGGTACTATGGTTTTTGTGATTGTATAGTTCCAAAAATTATCCATACCCCCCTCATGGAGGAATTTTTTAAAGACACACCCCTACCCCCTGGAAATTCCAATTTTCTTCCTCTGTAATTTTTGTTCTTTCTCTGACCCCTGTACTCTTCTGAAATTCTAAATTCCTCTGTGGGGTGGGTATGGATGATTTCTGGAACTACACATTGCCACTATATTGAGCTGTATTGAGTTGTATTTGTATTTGCACCTGCAGCCCAGCCCATTGAATTCAGTCACTCATGATCATCACACATCAAAAGATTCTCGCCTCTATCCAAGGGTATCGGAGAAACCGATGTCTTCATCTGTTACCAATAAGGTATGTCCAGATTTTATGCAATCAGTAAACAATATAACAAATTTTAACTTTGTTATAGCAAATATTCTTGCAAAGATATTTGTGAATGCAGTTGGGGTAAACCTGCTTTTTATGCTTCTAGGGTATAAGGTTTGATTCTTGATAATGTGGGAACATTATTTTGTTAAGAATGAATTAATGGCTTTCCTTAGGTTTCTCCAATTTACCTCTCACCAATAATTGACCTGCGAGCTACCTAGCCATGTATTGGTCATGTCCTGACTTAGATTTGGTCAGAGGATTTTTTTAAACACTGGATTTATGGTTACTGCCAATCAAAGAAATTGTTAGCCCAGATCATTGAAATAAGTCGAGGTTGGAGTTCATAAAATACAGTAAACCTTGATTTGGAGCCATTCTTTCCTGGTCACTGAAGGCAATTCTAGAAAGGTCTACTTGATAGAAGTTAAAACCCTCATGTCTAAGAAGTATCTTAAAAAGGAGAAAAAATAAAATAAAAAATGGGGGAAATTACGAAACAAATGAAAAGCACTGGGAGTAAAAATGAAAAAAATTGAATGGTGTGGGGGG